TTTACAATTGGGACATATCCCTTCCATTTGAATCAGATGTTTTGTAATAAATTAATAATTAAAAGGACGATTTTAATCCCAAGAGGTAATAGCATGCTTTTTGATTTTATATTGAATAATAAATTATTAATAGTATATTACAATCACGAATATATTTTTATTTATATATTTTTAAATAAAAAACAAATTAAAACATAATAAAATTTTAGTTAATAAATACCAAAATCGAATCGGGTTAATGTTAACAATTGATTTTTATTATGTTTTATCTTTATTAATTTGTTTTAACATTATACATCCGGGTCGGATCGGAGGGTCCCAAATCAATTCACAACATCTGTGGCATTACCATTTACCACACACAGTTCAATTTTAAGTAATAAGATTTATTGTTTACTGTACTTTACAAGTACTGCTGCAAATAAGTGCGTCGTTCTAGTAGAGATAGGATAAGTGGTTGAAGGAAAACAAAGTCATACTCATACCCTACTTACCAAGAGAGAACAGAGGCTGACGCCAGTATTCACCGGAACAACCACTACTGGCATGTAATTTCCCCGTCATTCACTGTCACCTCAATTCAGTATCTCTCCATATTGGAAATTACGTTTCCGTTTCTAATTTCGTGTAAGAACTTCATCAAGCCATTCAATATAATAGTACAGTTCGTTGTTCGTTGTAGGGCTTTTCATGTTCCGAATTTCAGGTTTAGGGCAATGATTAGACTCTGAATCAACATATTGTTGGCTGAAAGTTGAATATAAACTTATAGTTTACAAGGTACGTTGGCCAGAACTATTGGAAATTTATTGAATAATTTGAGTTAAAAGTTCGATTTACACAAGGAGTATACAAGGCGAGAAACCTTTTCCTGCATAGCCAAATGTAAAGGAGTTTACAATTGTGACATATCCCTTCCATTTGAATCAGATGTGTTGTAATAAATTAATAATTAAAAGGACGATTTTAATCCCAATAGGTAATAGCATGCTTTTTGATTTTATATTGAATAATAAATTAATAATAGTATATTACAATCACGAATATATTTTTATTTATATATTTTTAAATAAAAAACAAATTAAAACATAATAAAATTTTAGTTAAACTTTTTTCTATTAGTTTGTAAATATAATTAAGTATTCTTGTTATCTTTTTTCAAACTTGAAATATTTTCATACTTAAATTTTTAGGAGTCACACCAAAGCCATATATTTTTTTGGCCAAATTTGTCCCACGTATTAAATGGTTTTTTTGACAATTGATTTTGACATTTTGGTTAGTTAACAAATACCAAAATCGAATCGGGTTATTTTTAAAAATTGATTTCTATTATGTTTTATCATTATTAATTTTTTTTAACATTATACATACGGGTCGCATCGGAGGGTCCCGAATCAATTCAGAATATCTGTAGCATTACCATTTAACACACACAGTTCAATTTTAAGTAATAAGAATTACAGTTTACTGTACTTTACAAGTGCTGTTGCAGATAAGTGCATCGTTCTAGTAGAGAGAGGATAAGTGGTTGAAGGAAAACACATACCCTACTTACCACGAGAGAACGGAGGCTGACGCCGGTATTCACCGGAACAACCACTACTGGCATGTAATTTCCCCGTCATTCACAGTCACCTCAATTCAGTATCTCTCCATATTGGGAATTACGTTTCCGTTTCTAATTTCGTGTAAGAACTTCATCAAGCCATTCGATATTATAGTACAGTTCGTTGTAGGGGTTTTCATGTTCCGAATTTTAGGGTTTAGGGCAATGATTAGACTCTGAATCAACATATTGTTGGCTGAAAGTTGAATTTAAACTAGGAGTTTACAAGGTACGTTGGCCAGAACTATTGGAAATTTATTGAATAATTTGAGTTAAAAGTTCGATTTACACAAGGAGTATACAAGGCGAGAAACCTTTTCTTGCATAGCCAAATGTAAAGGAGTTTACAATTGTGACATATCCTTTCCATTTGAATAAGATGTCTTGTAATAAATTAATAATTAAAAGGACGATTTTAATTCCAAGAGGTAATAGCAAGCTTTTTGATTTTATATTGAATAATAAATTATTAATTGTATATTACAATCACGAATATATTTTTATTTATATATTTTTAAATAAAAAACAAATTAAAACATAATAAAATTTTACTTAAAGAGTTTTCTATTATGTTTTATCATTATTAAATTTTTAGGCCAAATTTGTCCCACATATTAAATGCGTTTTTTTAATAATTGATTTTGACATTTTGGTTAGTTAATAAATACCAAAATCGAATAGGGTTAATTTTAACAATTGATCTCTATTATGTTTTATCATTATTAATTTGTTTTAACATTATACATACGGGTCGGATCGGAGGGTCCCAAATCAATTCACAATATCTATAGCATTACCATTTACCACACAGAGTTCAATTTTAAGTAATAAGAATTACAGTTTACTATACTTTACAAGTGCTGCTGCTGACAAGTGCGTCGTTCTAGTAGAGAGAGGATAAGTGGTTGAAGGAAAACAGAGTCATACTCATACCCTACTTACCACGAGAGAACGGAAGCTGACGCCGGTATTCACCGGAACAACCGCTACTGGCATGTAATTTCCCCGTCATTCACTGTCACCTCAATTCAGTATCTCTCCTTATTGGGAATTACGTTTCCGTTTCTAATTTCATGTAAGAACTTATGGAAGCCATTCGATATAATAGTATAGTTCGTGTTAGGGGTTTTCATGTTCCGAATTTCAGGGTTTAGGGCAATGATTAGACTGTGAATCAACATCTTGTTGGCTGAAACGTGAATTTAAACTAGGAGTTTACAAGGTACATTGGCCAGAACTATTGGAAATTTATTGAATAATTTGAGTTAAAAGTTCGATTTACACAAGGAGTATACAAGGCGAGAAATCTTTTCCTGCATAGCCAAATGTAAAGGAGTTTACAATTGTGACATATCATTTCCATTTGAATCAGATGTGTTGTAATAAATTAATTAATTTTATATTGAATAATAAGTTAATAATAGTATATTACAATCACGTATATATTTTTATTTATATATTTTTAAATAAAAAACAAATTAAAACATAATAAAATTTTAGTTAAATTGTTTTCTATTAGTTTGTGAATATAATTATGTATTCTTGTTATCTTTTTTTCTAATTTGAAATCTTTTAATACTTAAAATTTTAGGAGTCACACCAAAGCCATATATTTTTTTAGGCCAAATTTGTCCCACGTATTAAATGGTTTTTTTGACAATTGATTTTGACATTTTGGTTAGTTAATAAATACCAAAATCGAATCGGGTTAATTTTAACAATTGATTTCTATTATGTTTTATCAATATTAATTTGTTTTAACATTATACATACGGGTCGGATCGGAGGGTCCCGAATCAATTCACAATATCTGTAGCATTACCATTTACCACACACAGTTCAATTTTAAGTAATAAGAATTATAGTTTACTGTACTTTACAAGTGCTACTGCAGATAAGTGCGCCGTTCTAGTAGAGAGAGGATAAGTGGTTGAAGGAAAACAAAGTCATACTCATACCCTACTTACCACGAGAGAACGGAGGCTGACGCCGGTATTCACTTGGAACAACCGCTAGTGGCATGTAATTTCCCCGGCATTCACTGTCGCCTCAATTCAGTATCTATCCATATTGGAAATTACGTTTCCGTTTCTAATTTTGTGTAAGAACTTCATGAAGCCATTCGATATTATAGTACAGTTCGTTGTAGGGGTTTCCATGTTCCGAATTTCAGGGTTTAGGGCAATGATTAGACTGTGAATCAACATATTATTGGCTAAAAGTTGAATTTAAACTAGGAGTTTACAAGGTACGTAGGCCAGAACTATTGGAAATTTATTAATAATTTGAGTTAAAAGTTCGATTTACACAAGGAGTATGCAAGGCGAGAAATCTTTTCCTGCATAGCCAAATGTAAATGAGTTTACAATTGTGACATATCCCTTCCATTTGAATCAGATGTGTTGTAATAAATTAATAATTAAAAGGACGATTTTAATCCCAAGAGGCAATAGCATGCTTTTTGATTTTATATTGAATAATAAATTAATAATAATATATTACATTCACGAATATATTTTTATTTATATATTTTTAAATAAAAAACAAATTAAAACATAATAAATTTTTGGTTAAACTGTTTTCTATTAGTTTGTAATATAATTAAGTATTCTTGTTATCTTTTTTCTAATTTGAAATCTTTTCATACTTCAAATTTTAGGAGTCACACAAAAACCATATATTCTTTTGGCCAAATTTGTCTCCCGTATTAAATGATTTTTTGACATTTGATTTTGACATTTGTTTAGTTAATAAATACCAAAATCGAATCAGGTTAATTTTAACAATCGGAGGGTCCCAAATCAATTCACAACATCTGTGGCATTACCATTTACCACACACAGTTCAATTTTAAGAAATAAGAATTACAGTTTTACTGTACTTTACAAGTGCTGCTGCAGATAACTGCGTCGTTCTAGTAGAGAAAGGATAAATGGTTGAAGGAAAACAGAGTCATACTCATACCCTACTTACCACAAGAGAACGGAGGCTGACGCCTGTATTCACCGGAACAACCGCTACTGGCATGTAATTTCCCCGTCATTCACTGTCACCTTAATTCAGTATATCTCTATATTGGGAATTACATTTTCGTTTCTAATTTCGTGTAAGAACTTCATCAAGCCATTCGATATTATAGTACAGTTCGTTGTAGGGGTTTTCATGTTCCGAATTTCAGGGTTTAGGGCAATGAGTAGACTCTGAATCAACATATTATTGGCTAAAGGTTGAATTTAAACTAGGAGTTTACATGGTACGTAGGCCAGAACTATTGAAAATTTATTGATAATTTGAGTTAAAAGTTCGATTTACACAAGGAGTATACAAGGCGAGAAACCTTTTCTTGCATAGCCAAATGTAAAGGAGTTTACAATTGAGACATATCTGTAACACCGTGAATTTTCGTACAATTTTTTTCATTTTTAAATCACAAAAATGCTCATAATACATTTCACAAAATCCCAATTATCAAATTAACAAAACATAAATCCATAATTGTTTAGTTAATGATCCAGGATCTTCCAAAACATAACTCTTTATCGCATGTGTACAATCGAGCCGTTGCCTTCCCGTGAACCTGAGAAGTACCTGAAACACATAACACATAACACGGTAAACAGTAAGCTTAGTGAGTTCCCCAAAATAGCACACACACAACACTGTAGCCACTCGAGTCGCACAAAATACCACTCATGGTAAGTATAGTGAGGAGACTTACCTCTGATGGCGAACAGATCCTATAAATGCTGCTGCTGTACTCCGACCTCTAACACTGAGCCAAACACATAATTAACCCCATTAGGATTTAAGAACAAACCTTCACATATTAGGTCTAAATATGGTCCACTAATCTGCTCCATAAATAACTCAAGCCCAATGGGCCCACCAAAGACCAATACCAAATGGGTCCACAAAAGTCCTATAATGGCCCAAATATGGCCCAATTTTCCAAATTGGCCCCAAACCCTCATATGGCCTTACCCTAAAGCCCATCTAAATATTCTAGTCCACATGATTGCTCTTGGATGACCCATCAATAGCCCAATCACCAAGGCCCAATAGAAAGGCCTAACACATTAAGGGTTTTTCACATAAAATCACGATTAGGGTTAAGTGAGAACACTTAACCCATTAAGGACTTAACCCATTAAGTCCATTATTCCACTAAGTCGTCATATAATAGAATCATCGTGAGCTATAACTTCAGCTCACTAGTCCAAACGCGGGTCCCGATGAGCCTAAGCCAATATACTCCCAATTAGGGTTTTCTAAACCCTAATTAGGGTTTCTAGCCCACTAACGAACCAGCCTAGTCCAATAATAAGTGTTTTGGCCCAATAGGGTTCCATTAGAACGGGCACCACACATTGCCACCTCGGGCAGTGGTGGTTGGTGGCGGCTCACGGCGGCAACCACCACCTCACGGTGGTGGGGGGGGGGGGGTTTCCGGCCATACAAACACTCATTCCATCTCATAATTTCCGAAATCTGCTCTTATGCTCAAAAAATCAAACCAAAAAACACATCCACAGCCACCTTCCACGGTGGCTGGTGGCGGCGGAGACATGGCTGAAACGGCAGCCACCATGGTTGGCTGCCATGGTGGTGCGCCAACCCTCGGGTCGACATTCTCACGAACTCCAGCCATAAATTGCAACCTGAAATGGACACTTTCAGCCACCCACTTGGTGGCTGACGCCGCTGAGGTCAATGGAAACGCCGGCAGAAGCCGGCATCAGAGGCAACAACTACGCCACACATCCACGGAGGAGTCAAGGAGGTTACCTGATGCTTCTGATGGAGGAATAACGTGAAGACAAGAAGCGAAGGGCTTCAGCGGAGGTTTGGCGATCGCGTCTTCACCGGAGGAGAGCAGTGGCGGCCCACTGTTAGCTTCGTGTGCTGCTCTTCGCCGTTGCTGATAGCTTCACCGGCAGCCGGCGTCGATCTTGCCTTACACGTCTTCGCCGGCAGTGAAAAAGGTTGGCGGCAGAAGGAGGACTTCCAGTGGTGGCGGCTGTAATGGAACAGTGGGTAGGGTTTCCTGTTGCGACGAGGGGAAGGCACGGTTTAATCCCGTGTCCACTTCAACTATGCTTTTTATTCACTTCTAGTCCCTCCCCATCATTGTTTTTTCAACTTAAATCCAATAAATACCATACAGCCCTCCACTTTGAGATATATTTGCAAGGCAAATCCGAAAATTACCATTTAACCCCCATGATCTCAATTTAAGACATTCAGTCCTTCCTTCTCACAATGCCTTTCATAATAAGCCCTAATAATTTCCAAACACACCTTGAGTTCTAAAATCTTTACGAGATAAATCCTGAAATTACACTTTAGTCCTCGAAGGTTCAAATTATATTATTTGACTCCCCGAAACCGACACCCCGCTAAATATTATTATTTTAGGTCACTATTCATATTAACTCTTATCTATTTATTTATTTAATATTCGGGATGTTACAATTCTCCCCACTTAAATTAGATTTCGTCCTCGAAATCTTTCCTCTCCATCCCTTACACGCCCGACAACTTGAACGGCATGGCCACAAGCCCGAGTATAATCCAAGTCGTTCAATCCAACAGAGTTATCTCAACCAACCATATGTACATGCAACTACTAAGTTCGCTTTACTCCAAGCTATATTACATTCAATCAGTAGTCACACATCATTTCCGACCTATGTCGTCTAACACTCACTAACTTCATGTGTGTTGCGGTCCTTCTCAAGCCAAACGAACTGACCCTCCCAGGTCTAGAACATCATATGGAAACCTTAATCTCTCAAAAAGAAATCCATCAGGAATCTGAAATCTCAACTCATCTATTCTTTACACAGATAGGATCAAACTCAACTCGAGAGTCCGGTTCAACAGCAGAGTTGGAATCACTCATCTCCAATCAGATACTCGACTCACGACCCGTGATCTGCGAATCTACGCGTACATTACTCTCTAATTCCCTCTGAATTACGACAACCTCCTCCCAGTTCAAGATATAACGGATCCCGACCATCATGGAGACCCCAGTCTCGCTCCTGGTCCGACCACCAGGTTCCCAAAGACTCAGTCGTTAAGGCTACCTAAGCCTAAGAACTCCTCTGTGTCATGCTCTAAACAGGGAATACTACAGATTCCCGTAGTCTTACGATACTCTCACACTAACTCATGAATGCTACAACTCCCCGCAGGTTGACATCACTTACTCACTTACCCGTGAATGCTACGGCTCCCCGCAGGATTACATCACTTACTCATTCACTTGTGAATGCTACGGCTCCCCGTAGGCTTAACTCACTTACTCACTCACTCGTGAATGTTACGGCTCCCCGCAGGCTCACATCACTTACTCATTCACTCGCCATGGGATCTCCCCATGGTTTTTCCCTGATACTACAAAGTGATTACTCTCACCCGGATTCTTCTACTCTCTTACCACCCCCACAATCTCTGTAACATCCAAAAATACAACCCAAAATTTTTTGTTTTAATATTACTAAAAACCATAATATCCAAAATCATATAAGAAAAACCATAAGTCATGTATTCCAAAATATCATAAGCATGTCCCATATCAAAACTAATTGTCAAGATCATGTCGAAAATATCAATGTCTAACTCCCATGAAATAACTATGGTGTGTGCCATGCCATCAACCTGAGCCCTTTCCCTTGCTAGCTGAAGTACCTGAAACCAAAACTGAAAACTGTAAGCACGAAGCTTAGTGAGCTCCCCCAAACAACCACATACCATAAATATAAGCACATACTGGGCCTTGCCCACTGCATCGGACCGAAGTCCGGAAACTGCATCGGACCGAAGTCCGGAAACTAACCAGGGCCTTGCCCTCTGCATCGGACCAAAGTCCGGAAACTGCATCGGACCGAAGTCCGGAACTAACCAGGGCCTTGCCCTCTGCATCGGACCGAAGTCCGGAAACTGACTGAAAATAGCATAGCATAAACATAACTACTAGCATAAACACATATACTGCACACTACATCGGACCAAAGTCCAGAACACATAACATAAAGACATGCTTGAATCACAAAGACATCAAGTACACTGAACTGCTGCATCAGACCGAGGTCCGAAACTACTGCTAACCAAACGGGCCGGCATTGTGGCCTTAGACCCGTTCCTACTGGAAGGAAACTCACCTCGTAAGGCTGATTGTTGAGATGCTGGTCGGAAACTGTCTGTCTGCTGCTCTGGTAACTCTCCGGCTACAATTCCCATAAAACACTTAATCAAAACTGATAATTACTCTTAGGGTAAAATGACTATTTTACCCTCCCCTCCCCCGGTCAAAGTCAACATACTGGTAAAAGTCAACTTCCAGTTGACCTGACTCGCCGAGTTGGGTCTTCAACTCGTCGACTCCCTATTCCTTGGCTCTAATTTCCTACCCGACTCTGCCCGTCGAGTTTAGCAAAGACTCGACGCGCTTCCCTTCTATAATGACATCGAGTCATCCTTCATCTGACTCGCCGATTCGTATGAACAACTCGCCAAGTTCACCTTCATCATATGGACATGTCCAGACTATGACTCACCGAGTTGTATGAACAACTCGTCGAGTCTGTTCTTGAGGGTAAGAAGATTGCCTTGGACTCGCTGAGTCAGGGCGTAGACTCGCCGAGTCCCTCAGCTTCCAGATCCTTGTTCTAACTCACCGAGTCCTTACTCTACCCACTACACAGACTCGCTGTTACTGAGCCAGGGAATCTAAGACTCGCGACCAGACTTGCCGAGTCAGAAGAATGACTCGCCGAGTCCTTTGCATGCAGTCTCTATGCAGCCGATTTTGATCAGTTTCAGAGCATCCAACTCATAGATCTGAGCTTCTAGAACTATCTTAACATGTAAATTTGCTAACTTTACGTGTATCTATGATGCAATGAGGCAATAACACTAAAAACTTGCTATAATGGGTGATGCTTGACTAGAACAAGGCCATGGCTTCCAAAAGATGGCCTCCTTGAGCTCTTGGAGCTCAAGAAAGGCTAGATCTAAGATTTGACCCGCTAAGAATGCCTCATCACTAAGGATTTAGGGGTTTTGAGCTTAAAACCATCATAGTTGGGGACTTATGAGATCTAATACACACAAGGATCAAGTTGAGAACTTGATTACCAGAAAGAGTGCCAAAAGGAAGATAACTTCTGGATCTACTTTGCCCTCCTCGAATATTCAAATTCTTTCTTCTTCTTCTAGCCTCTAAATGCACCAAAATCAATCACAAAGGTGAGAAACACTCAAGAACACTTATGGGGGACTAGGGTTTGGTAAGAACGTTCTGGAGGCTGGGGTGGGAGGCTATAATGACGTTTAAATAGGGTACAAACCCTAGGATTTAGGGTTTCATCCAGATAAGTGGACTCGCCGAGTCCGGAATACAGACTCGTCGAGTCGCCAACTAAAGACGCGAACAAGTCCCGCCTCTACTCGACGAGTCGGGCTACTGACTCGTCGAGTTCCTCTTAATGAAGGAAAATACTATATTTAAATCACATACCAGAAATGGGGCGTTACAATTCTCCCCCACTTATCTTAGACTTCGTCCTCGAAGTCTGCTGCTGCTGAACCCAAAAACAACTCTGGATAATGCTCCCTCATCTCCTCCTCAGTCTCCCACGTCCACTCAGAACCCTTCCGGTGCTGCCACTGCACCTTCACTAACTGAACCACCTTGTTCCTCAAGGTCTTCGTCTTCCGATCCAAGATCGCAACTGGCCTCTCGATATAATTCAGGCTGCCATGAACCTGAATATCATCCAATGGTACTACTGCTGACTCATCCACCAAACACTTTCGTAACTGAGAAACGTGGAAAGTGTTGTGGATCTGGCTAAGCTCTGCTGGAAGATCCAACCGATAAGCAACCCGACCCACCCGGGCCGAAACCCTAAAAGGGCCAATAAACCTGGGGCCCAGCTTGCCCCTCTTCCGGAACCTGATGACACCCTTCCAAGGTGACACTTTCAGGAGGACCATATCGCCCACCTGAAACTCCAAGTCCGAACGCCTCCTGTCGGCGTAACTCTTCTGCCGACTCTGCGCAGTCTGCGGTCTACGGACCTGCTGGATCAACTCTGTGGTCTTGAGCACCACCTCAGTGCTCCCAATGACCCTCTGTGCGACCTCGCCGAACAAATCGGGGTCCTACACTTCCTCCCATAAAGCATCTCGAAAGGAGGGCGGTCAATGCTGGCGTGGTAACTGTTGTTATACGAAATTTCCGCTAATGGAAGATACGTATCCCAACTGCCACCAAAATCTAAGACACATGCCCGAAGCATGTCCTCGAGAGTCTGAATCGTTCTCTCGCTCTGCCCGTCCGTCTGGGATGGAATGTTGTACTAAAGTGAAGACGAGTCCCCATCTCATGATGAAACCGCTTCCAAAACCTGGAAGTGAACCGGACGTCTCGATCTGATACTACTGATACAGGCACTCCATGCCGTGCCACTACCTCGCGCACATAAATATCGGCTAGATTCTAGGCCGAAATGCTCTCCTGAATCGGTATGAAATGTGCGTTCTTGGTCAGTCGATCCACTACGACCCAAATCGAATCAACTCCTCGTGCTGTCCTGGGAAGCTTAGTGATGAAATCCATAGTGATGTCCTCCCATTTCCACACGGAAATGTCTAACGGCTGCATCTTGCCGTGGGGTCTTTGATGTTCCGCCTTGACCTTCCTGCAGGTCAGGCATCTCTCTACATACCAAGCCACGTCCCGCTTCATGCAGGGCCACCAATAGTCGGGTCGAAGATCTCTGTACATCTTCGTCGCCCCTGGGTGGATGGAGAAACGAGACTTATGAGCCTCGTCCATCAACACTTGCCGTACTCCGCCCCAGTATGGCACCCATACTCTCCCATGAAGGGTCAACAATCCTCGACTGTCATAGTCAAAGGAAGCTACTCGGCCCACAATCCTCTCATACTTTTGCCTCTCCTCCTTCAGGCCCTCAACATGTGCCTCTATAATCCGCTCCAACAAGGGAGTAATCACTGTCATCCTCAGACAAATATCCCTGATCGGGGCTGCTACCGCCTTGCGGCTCAGGGCGTCGGCCACTACGTTGGCCTTACCCGGGTGATAAAGGATCTCACAGTCATAGTCCTTTACCACGTCCAACCATCGACGCTGTCTCATATTCAGATTCGGCTGATCCATGAGGTACCTCAAACTCTTGTGATCCGTGTA